CCCCAAAACCCCAAAACCCCATGAATTTAAATTGAAAGTGACAAATAGATTATAATTGAAATTAAATGTAGTTGATTATTATTGTTGGGCTTGCTTGAAAATCACATATCAGCTTCGTTGCCATCACTTTCCTCGTCAATTTTGTGGAAGGAACCCCCCATCATCAAATCTCCCTTGATTGATTTATTCTGCCATAGGTTAGCTTAGTGAATGATGTGAAGGCTCGCGTCATCTCCCTTTCCCATTTAATGTTGTGATCCTTGATAGCTGTGATTCAATTATGTTGACTAACTCCCAAGATAATTCATGCCAGCGGAAAAGCCTGTAGTGTTATTGTCATCCGATCTATTCATAAACTTCTGATGTTGCATTTTCCTACCAAATGGAGAGAAGCTAGATATATGGGCGTTACTCTTCTAATCTTCCAAATTTAAATTGAACTGTTTCCCTTCATTTTGCCCGATAGGTGTGACAAACTCATGGTAATCATTCCAATTAGCAGATGACCCTCTTCTGTCATATTTCTTTTCTTTTCTAAAGTTTCTCACTGGATCTCCAAAGAGCTCCCTCAAATTAAACTTCAAGGTTCTTGGGTCAAACTTACCAAAGACATCATCTGCTGACACTGCTTAGCTTTTCTGGAATAAGACTACTTTATTTAATAGTTCAATGTCTGTGCACCATCTAGGAATGTTCTTATATCTCTGGTCAGTATATCCTATTTTCTTGAAGTACTTCATACCCCGATATTTGACAGACTTTGGCTTACTCTTGAAATAATTACCTAAATCACTACCAGGTTTTGACTGATCTTTTTCAATTCTATGGACGAAATGAGAGACTGTAAGTTTAGGACTTCTTCTGCCAAAACCAAGCATATCGTATTGATTACATGACTCAAGTTAAGCTTTTTACTTCTCTATTACATTTATAATAGGATCATCTTCATCAAACTCAGCAATCCTGCATGCATCATTAAACTCTCCATCACTACTGATTCTCTCAGAAGATTTATCACTTAAGACATATTAAGAGTTGCAGTCACGAATAAATTCATTGTAAACAGAGGCATAGTCTGTCTGCTCAGAATAATCCTAGTCATAATGGTTTATATTATCAATTATAATCTCCCCAAGAGGTGCTCTTTACTATTGTGTACCTTGATACTGCTAGATTAGCTTATTGCTTGCTTATATAATTGCTCTATCTGGATCGCTCTCATTAAGCTTAAGATTATTGATATCATTCTAGATTTTATGCAAATTTTCTCTATTCTTTAAAGCAGTCAATTAATCTTAAATGACACTTTTAGAAGATTTTTCAAAAGGAGTCAAGTTCTCTTTATTAGAGTTGCAGGAATAGGCAAGGGGATTATCCAAAGACTCATAGGGTTAAACACTAAAGGAGTATTTCTGATCCTCAGAAAACTAATTTACTTACTATAGCTGCTGTGTAACTAGATTTTCCTATTCATCTTGTCCTTAGAAGTAAGGAGATTCATCTTGGACATTATCTTTAGAGAGTTCGATTTAAGTCATGTTGTGGAAAGGCTAGAAGTTACCCTATAGCTCTATGTTAGGATCTGTTTTTCCTTAATTGTTGTAGTCAACAGTGTAATTTTACTGGTGTAAGCGAGATTAATTTTATATTTTAGACATGACCTCTTTGATCCTTTGGAGATCAAACATCTTTTCCTCATTACCATTAGAGTTATTGTGAATAGTTAACTCCTCATTTAACTTTATTTTCTTTGAATTAAACTTATCGATGCTGTAGTTGTAGTTGTCATCGTCCTTGTTGACACTGATCTCAAGCTCAGAGATTAGCCTAGCTTTCTTTTTAGATTTAGTGATACTTGGGTTAACCTCTCCTTCCAGTGGGTATGATGTCAGCTACTTCAATATTGACTTAGGCTTGCTCTGATAACCTAGATGACTTTGTTGATTTAAGCTTGAAATATGTTGAATAATCTACTAAATAAATGATCAAAATTTGATTGAGTTTACCTCATTATTTTAAGAATTGTTTCTATCAGAAAAAATAATTGGACTCAATTGTTAATCCTTATACTCTGGTATGGCCATTATACTCTTTTAGCTATGATTTGCAGAGTCGCCCCTCTCACTGCACTGACCATCGACAGAATTCAACTCATCAGACTACTTTTAGCGCAAACTCAGTTGATTTATCCTCTCATCGATATCCTTTAGATAGTCTTGGTACTCCTCCAGATTGACTTTTTTACATTTACTTAAGGCAGATTCTGAAGATAAAAGCTTGATATTATTAGGAGTTGATTAACTTTCTTAGCTTGAGGCAATTTCTTAGTAGCCCATGCCAAGTTTGAGTTTCTTTACAAATTCAATACCTCTTTTTCTCCTCTTTGAAGGAATTTCCTTCTCTCCTGATTATCTCTCCTCATCTGCAATGATTTTAAAGTGAGTCAATAGCTTTTAATTGAGATTATTGGTTATCACATTAATATTGAAGATTGTTTTCTAGAGAAATGCGTCTACGATAAAGCTCATTTTCTTTAATTAACTTTGATTTTGAATTAATAATTTTAATTGAGTTAAGTGCCATTTGAATTTAAAATCTAACCTCTCTTTTTCTGTTAAATCATTACTCTCGGGGTTTTGGGGTTTTGGGGTTTTGGGG